TGCAATTAAAAGTAATACTTTCCCTGGCTGGCATAGCTCAGTGGATTGAGCTCAGGCTGTGAACCAATGCATCGCAGGTTTGATTCCCAGTGAGGGCACGTGCCTGGGTTGCAGGCCACGGCCCCCAGCAACCGCACATTGATGTTTCTTTCTCTTTCTCTTACTCCTTCCCTTCCCTCTCTAAAAATAAATAAATAAAATCTTAAAAAATAAAGTAAAAACAAATAAAATCTTAAAAAAAAAGACAAAACTGTAAGTGACTACAGAACTTCCAGAGTTTTTCTGTGAAGCATTCTGTACCACATTATTGCCAATTAATTTATACTTTATGTGCATTTACTGCACAGTACAAGGAATTACACATCAAAGAGATTCTCTGTATCTAATGGAGGCCTGATACATGAATCTACACATAAGAATTGCCTTAGGACTTGCTTTATGTCGACTTTAGCCGTGACTGGTGTGGCTCAGTTGGTTGGGCATCATCCCACAAAGCTAAGGTCTTGGGTTCAATTCCCAGTCAGGGTGTGTGTGGGGGTTGTGGGCCTGGTTCCTTGTTGGGGTGTGCACGAGAGGCAGGCAACCAATATTTCTCTCCCCTTCTCCCTCCCTTCCCCTTCTCTAAAAATAAGTAAATAAAATGTTTCAAAAAGGAATGAATTTAACATTTGCTTAGCACCTAAAAAGGTGTTTATAACACACACAGATGTGCAGGCATTTAAAACACACATAGCCCTGGCTGGTGTAGCTCAGTGGATTGAGCGCAGGCCTGCAAACCAAAGGGTCACCAGTTCAGTTCCCAGTCAGGGCACATGCCTGGGTTGCGGGCTAGGTCCTCAGTAGGGGGCACATTAGAGGCAACCACACATTGATGTTTCTCTCCCTCTCTTTCTCCCTCCTTTCCCCTCTATAAAAAAAAAATAAATAATCTAAAAAAATTACAAAATACCTTTTTTTTAATTAAATTTATTTATTTTTAGAGAAGGAAGAGAAGGAGAATGAGAGAGAGAGAGAGAGGAACATCAATATGCAGTTGCTGGGGGCCATGGCCTGCAACCCAGGCATGTACCCTGACTCGGAATCGAACTTGTGATGCTTTGGTTCGCAGCCCGCACTCAATCCACTGAGCTACACCAGCCAGGGCACAAAATAGCTTTAAAAAAATAAAATAAAATAAAATAAAACACACAGAAGCACATATAGGTATACTTTGCTACAATTAAACAATATTTAATAAAAATTTTAAAAATTTAATCTTTATTGTATTTTTTTCATTACCATTTACTCCCCTTATATCTCCCTGCCCCCAGCAATCATCACACCAATAGTGTTGTCCATAATACAACAAAAATAGTTGCAGAGGGTAACATTTGATTTTCAAAAGTCTCCCATACAAAGTGGGGCATGTTGAAAGGGCACAGGAACCAAACAGCAAGAGCTACCAACCGTCCAAGGCTGGAACAATATGAGCAACAAAATTAATGTGGTACAGAGTTACAACAAGTATAGAATATGCACGAGTCCAGTCCGCACTGATATAAACGAGTGAATGAATAAATGAGGGAACGGACAAACCTTGCAGAATTCCATGTTGTGTAGTGAATTCTGCAAGATTTCCCTGAAGGAGGTGGGGCTCCCTTGAGTGTGGGCTGCATGTAGTGACTCCCAAACAATAAAGTACAGAAAGGGAAAAAGTAACTTTATAATGGAAAAACTTGACAGATACTACCTTAACCAAGTGATCAAGGTAGCCCTTTATCGAGGGCTATTTTGGTAATATAAAGCAGATCATAGGAATGACAAAGGGAGATCTTTACATCACTGTGATGTAACAGTTTTGTTTAATTGCTTTTCTCCTTAGCCCTGATTTTGGCAAGCTGAGTCAGTGTCTCCAGAAGCTTCTTCTTGGAGTAGCTAAACATTTAGATGAGATTAATTAATGCTACACTAATACAGTGCCTCCCCTCCATACCAAGCACTATATTTGGTAATGTATGTGTGTGTGTATCGGGGTGTGGGGAGTTGGTACATATTTAGTGGATAAAGACCAGGGCTGCTATTAAAAATCCTACAGTGACTTCCACAACAAAGAATTATCTGGTACCAAATGTCAGTCATGCCAAGGTTGAGAACCCTAACCTAATACATGCATACATCTGACAGACACATGTTGGGTACCTGTAATATCCCTCACACCAGGCTGTTTCCAGATGACATAAATAGGACATGTTCCATCCCTTCTAGAAGGGGAATCATGTTGGGGAATTGGAGAACAGGTGAAACACAGTACTGTATATGACATTTTATATATAAAGGCCACGCTCACATACACACAATCAAAATGAATGGTTCAAATAAGTTATGGGGGTTGTCTAGAAAGGTAAAGAATCATCTAAAATGGTTCTGTATAGGAAATAGTACTTTTTTAAAAAATTGAGTTTATTGAGAGGGAGACAGGATTTTCGATGGGCCTTGGTGGATCCACAGACCTTAGATACAGTGAGTGGGAAAGAGGAAGCAGGAAGAACCATGTGTTTTACAGTAGAAGTACCAGGGGTGTTCTAGGAATAAAACATAATTTGAATAGTCACAAAGATTCGGTACGCTGTTCTTTCAGACCCTACTTACAGAGGTGGGTAGGACCTTCTTACAGTTCTTTCACACATACTGAAGAGGTTTCAAATGGGGGATGGGGGTGCATCATCAGAATTCTGGTGAAGACAATGGGTTGTAAAAGCTCCTAGGATGATTGACTTTGATGTGTACCTCCTCCATCTCGAGTTTTGAGAACCTCTGCTTTCATAGGTTGTCACTCATCTGAGGATGAATGCTGTCACAGGCATGCATAGGCTAGTATTCTCTTCCTTTTGGTCATATCTTCCACATTGGGAACTTTTTCTCTTTTTTGTCCTTTGTGTCCACCCCCATTTTTCAATATGTGATGGTCAGTAGCTGTAGGTGATATGTTGTTAATGCAACATCAGGCCACCCACAGTGATAATAGCAACATCTTCAAGGCTCTTTGGTGACAGATACTGCGGGGACTCCATTGGTTGAAAAGCAAGATAAAATTCTTGTCAGACTTGCTAAGGTGACTTAAAACATTTGTTAAAATGTGTCTGACCAGTAGATGGCGCGTTCCTCCCTTTGTGAGAATGTTATGAATGGATAAGCTCTCCCTTTGCCCTCTCCACCCCCAAGTGCTGTTGTAGTGAAAGCAAATCCACCCCTATCCTCTTTTCGTTCTCGATTTCAAGCCCTTCCCCTAAATCTCGTATAGAACTATAATAATATAATAACCTGCCTCTGGTATCCTTCCGTCCTACACCATCCAACATGCTGCCGTCAGAATCACTTTCCAGAAACAAAGATTGTCAGTGCCCTGCTGAAAATTGAAAAATGGTGTCTGGGGGGAACGTGGGCGTGGGGAGGATTCTCTGTGAAGGCAATCACAGGAGAGAAAAGTCTAGGCACAGCAGAGGCCTCTCTGACCAACAGATTTGTCTCAGGGGATGAGTGACTGGCTATTGTGGGAAAGGTAGATTCAGAGCCTTGATCCTCCTGCCAAGGAATTTGAACTTGCTCAATAGGCCATGGAGAATCATTAAGAGGTTTTGAAGGCTGCAGGATTACAGCTGTGTTGGAACGAGATTAATGTGACCAGGCATGCGGATGGACTGACTGAAAAGGAGTTCAGTGGAGAAGTCAGCTTAAGAGAGGAGGGTAAGAGGAGAGGTGTAGTCAGGCTGATTCGAGTTTGGAAAAATCAGTAGTTCCTCAACCATAATATTCATCAGTAATATACAGAGTAACAGAATCCATGCCAGGCAATGTCTGGGAAGTCAGAAATACACCCCCAGAGTCTGATGTCCCTGCATGCACGTGTCCACCGGGCTAACCACTACGAGCCCTGGCTGGGTCTGGGAAGAGTATTAGGTGCCGAAAACGAAGCCACTACACGTGTTTTCAAGTCAGCAGTAGAAAAAACAAAAACAGCTTGAGCTTTTTTCCATATCACAGGCTTTCAATGTGTTATTATTCAACACTACAGTGTCAGATTTAGATTTTCCACCTCGAGGAATTTGGTTTAGCTTTAATTAGTTGCTAGGAATGTTTCTGAGCCAAGTCTGGGAAACATTTATCTAGAAAAGCGTTTTCACTAAAATGTAAGCTGGATATAGGGTGTCGTTTTTCTATCAAGCTTTGTATCATGTTCACACAGTTATAAATTTTCTCCAGCCATCTGGATGATTTTTGTCACCACCCACCATAGTTATACTGGGTAATTATTTATTAATCATAATTCAAAATACTATACAATTGAGGCCATCTGAGCTCTATGAGTAGCTGCAGGACTTTAGAGTATGAATATTTTTCAGAGAAAAGGTGTTCTGCATAGAGGCAACTGATGCATTTTTCATCCAACAACTTTTCAGAAAAACAAGCTTAAAAATACCAAATAACCCCTGCCCCGACTTTAGCAGTTATATGAAGCTTCCTGAGTAACCAAAGAATGTGCCTCTTGTGGTTAAAATGAGGGATCTGTGTAATATGGGAGAAATACCAGCACTCCAGGCATTTCCACTGACATTTCACTGTGACTTTTTGAACTTAGGAGAGCTGACGCGAAAACCTGTCCTCGCTGCTCTGCGAAGCCTGCAGTCAGACTGCAGGGCAGGGCCTGGAGCGGTGCGAGGCCGCGCCCCTCACCCTCTTTTTTCTGCTTGGGGTGTGTTCACGTCTCCCTTTCTGCCCGCTGCTGCACTGACCGTTTTCCAGGACTCCTGTTCTGAAGCCAGTTAGGAAAGAAGGCAAAGGTTTGTTTTCAAATCCCACGGCCTCTCCAGCGCTGCACTTGGTTAGTGAACCAAAGTGAAAACGCTTGTGATGGGTATTTGTAAAGACCTTTGCCAAAGGTCAAGGAGCACTTCTGTTCCTTGGAACCAGAAGTTTCCCAGAGTGGCTGGACGGAGCACTGTGGCACTCGGGGCACGTTGGAGAACCGATTCAAAGTGCACAGGAGTCTAGGGAAGCCCCGGTCTCCAATCCTCCCCAGATACGGTCAGGCTGTTTGGCAGCAGCCCGGGAGAGACATGCTGTTTTGTTTAAATCCTCCACATTCTTTGCCATTTCCCTATTGGCCGGATGGGGCTCCCCGCCACGGCCGCTGCTGATGTCAGCCCTGCCGGCGCTGGCTCCTCCCGCACCCACCTCCCCGGCCCGAGGCACACTGCAGCTCGGCGCGGACTCTCCGGCCCCCGCGAGGTGGCTGCAAACTCGCGGGCACGCACGGCGCTGGGGGAGCCGAGGGATTCGGGGGAGGGGACGCGCGCGGAAGGCGCCAGCCAGCTCTCGCACGCCCCTCGCAGTGCGAGTGGAGGCTGGAGGAACCCGGGCCCCAGCGCAGCAGAGCCGGTGGCGGTGGCGGCTTCCCTTTTCTACCCCCACGAGCTCCGGAGCGTCTCAGGGACCGGCCCTAAAAAGAGCAGGAAATCTTGTTTACCGCCCGGGGAGAGGAGCCCTCTGAGCCTTTGTCTGGAAAGTCAGCATCTCCGGCTGCAATGTGTTCCTGGTGAATTAGCTCTGGGCGGACCGGCTGGAGAAGGGGGGTCGTCAGGTTCGTGTTTGGTTTCAGAGGCAGATCGAGCGGGTGACTTTTGTGCATTCGTTTTAATTTTTGGAAATCTCTTTTTTCCTCCCTCGCCCGCCACCGGGCATGTCCTGATCTGACGGCCGCTCCTACCGCCCGCGGCTGCGGATCAGAGAGGTTTCCAGCGGGGCTCCCTCCCTCCCTGACTTTGCAACACCGCGTTCCAGGAGGACCGACCTCGGCGAGGAAGGAGGCGGGGGAGCCGCGAACACCCGGACCCAAACCTTGACATGGTCTCGGCCCGGGAGGAGGAAGCCAGAAGCTGAGCGCAACCGCCAGAGCTTATTCTCCCGCCGGCTCCGAGAGTGGGGCTCCGGGCTCCCTGCCCTGCGCCTGGGCGGCAGCTTTGTTGTTCTGGGGGGCGTCCCCCGCTTTCCGCCCCGAGGGCCCGCGGCCGGCAGGACCATGTTGCTGAAGGAGTACCGGATCTGCATGCCGCTCACCGTGGAAGAGGTAAGCGCCGCCCCGGCCCGGCCTCGCCCGCTCCCGGCCCCCCGCCCAGGGGCGCCGCGTACCCCGCTGCCGCCTCCCCGTCGGCGAGTCCACTACGGGCCGCCGGGAAACCTGGCTGGAGGGGAGGGAGGAAGGGGGATTGCTGTTTCCACTTGTCACCCCAGCGGGGGAGGGCGGCGTTGGGTGGGGCGGTGAACTCCAGGTGGGCCCTTTGGGGGCACGCAGAATTCTCATTACTGGGGATCAGAGTCGGTGCATTTTTCCAGTTAAGCGAATGAATAAAGCAAACCCAACAACCCCAGGCGCGCGCTGGTAGCTGGGGGGTGGGGGTCGTCGTCCCGTTCTGGCAAGGGCCCAGGCTCCCCTCCTGCCCTTCTCTGTGAGGTCCTGGTACGGGGAGATGCCCTTTGCCCTCGGGATCTAGAGGGCCCGAGCCCTGCAGGGGGATAACTTGGAGCCATGGGAGGGTCCGCCTGGGCCCGGACCTCTTGCGTTGGCCGCCAGCCTGCGTGCTGCTCCCGCCACGCCCTCGCACCCAGGCTCCCGGACCGGGCTTCGACCTTTTAGCAAACCGCCTGACTCGGAAACTTTCTGCGTCTCTTGTTTCCTCTGCCGCGGGGAGCGTGGTCTGCAGGCGAGCTGCGCGCTGCGGGGGCTGCGGCGCGGCCACTGGAGGGCGCTCCAGCACGCGGGTGCGGGGTCAGGCCCTGGGGTCCGGCCGCTGCGGCAGCGCGGGCGAGTGGCGGGGGTCGTCCTCCACGCGCGCTGCTCAGGTCCGTTCCCTCCAAGCAGCAAGCTGCATCACTCAGGAAATGATGACTCAATGAGGATTATTCAGGCCTCGGCTTCCTTTAATACCCCTCTCTCCCCGACCTCGTTGGTGATTTCACCATTGCTTAGCGTCTGTCTAGGGACCGCAAGGGAGCGGGAAGCCAATCAAGGCAATTCGAAACTCACTAGTGTGGTTTGGTATGGTAACACAAACGAAATCGGGAACCCCAACTGTATTTACATTTAAATACCGTGCCCATAATGTCTCAGGTGTTATTGAGCTACACTACTTTGTGCGGTGGGTGCTTTGGGAGAGAAAAAAGATAATTAACCAAGAACACGTCTGTGCACCCAATGGGCTGTCTTCATTAGTCGCTGGAGCCAGTGTTGAGGCAAGACCCACCTACCTACACTGACAGGCAAGATCGGAGTAGCTCTGAGTTTACAAAATGCATCCCAGGGACTCCTGCTGCCAGAAAACTATCAGCCAGGCCCCACCCGAATGACCAACCGAAAGTTGCAGTTTGTTGGCATCTGAGGAGATAGCACCGGAGCAAGATCATGAAGGGTGGAGGCCTTGTGGGTAGGCAGAATTTTGGTGGGGGAGCATCCCGACTGTGTAAATAGAGTGGTGAAGCACCACACAGCCCTCTGGAGAGTGAGGGGGGCAAAGGAATGAAACTGGTTAACTGGAGTATTTCTAGAAAAGGTTGAGATTGTCCCACTCGGGCAGCTGAGCTGGAGTAGTTCAGCTTGCTGGTGAGTTTGCTTCTACCCTGTCTCCTCCTAATGACTTTATTTATTGACAGGAATTTGGAATCTAGGGGCCATGTTAGTACTGCATGAAATACCCCAAAGTGCAGGTGATAGTCAGGGAAATAACCAGTTCTAGAATCTTCTCTACTACCTGCAAAATCTCTTTATTCTGGTTGGTTCTCTTCTCTGGCTTTCTTGAAAATGCAGGCAAAACTCCGTTCCCTACTTTTCTTTTCCCCATTACTTAAGTACCCACCACTTCCTGGTGAAGTAGTAACATTGAGTGGTTAGGTGGAGGCCCTTCCTTTGTTAATTGGCAAATTAAATCAGACTCCACCTGTAACATAATGTATAATTATAACCTAATTAATGTATAATTCATTTGGACTAAAGCATGATTCAGTTTCTGTAAGGTCATACTCTGAAGTAGTTTTCTACTTTGTCGGAGAAGCAGGGGTGCAGTTTAGGTTGATAGAGCTTCCCAGCTGGAAGGATTCAGGTGAAACCCATCAGGTGATGGATTTGGCTAGGCCCACCCCGCTTGCCAGAGGTTAGGCCCCTAGAGTCTGACTGGTAGTAAACCCCACAATCACCGTGATCCCCCTTTGCACTGTGCCCTACTGACCTGAGCATTGAAAATTGGGAAGCAACATAACAGTGTCTTCACAGAAGACATTTCCACCAATTTGGGTAGTCTTTTGGAACTCTTAACTAGTTTCAACTCTTGATTTGCTTTAGGCTGCATTCATAGATCTATGGAACTTCTGGAACTTATTTCTGTTTAACTGCCACAGTTAATCAGTAGCAGTGTCCATATTTGTAAAAACGAAGCAAATGCCTTGTCTCGGAGAGTCATTGAGAGAACAGACACCGCGTGCCAGTTCTTTATCCCTGGCCTTTTCCCATTTAACTCCTCGTGGAGGGAGCGTAAGGGGCCTGGTGTGTTGTTATCTGCATTTTGCAGGCAACTAAACTGAGGTGCAGAATGATTAAGTAGTGTGCACCTGGCCACACAACTAGTTAATAGCCAAGCCAGAACCAGGGCCATGGTACACACCACTATTTGTTTTTTCTTACTCTGTTCTTTGCCTGTCATTAGTATTTTCTCCAGCAAAAGCCAAACATACTTCTTGAAAACAGATCAAGTCAGCACTACTAACTAAAGGTAAAATCAACTGCTCTTTAATTATTATAGAGAGTACTGTTTCTGCTATTCCTCTAGCCTTATTTTCACTCATAAAATGTCTCCTAGTCCCAGGAAAGAAGAACAGCTCTGTGAGATAAAGAAAAGAAAGCTGAACTATAATCTAGACAGAGTGTTGGTGTTTTGTTCTGCTTTAGACATTAATTTCAGAAAAAAAGAATTATAAGAAGTCACATCCCATGGGTTAATTTTAATTTTAAAAATTTCATTAGAACAGTCTCCTCATTTATGTTCCTACAAATAAAAACCATTGGAAAGCTCTGCTCAGTAAAGGGTCCTGGGGGCTGAGAGTTGGTCATACAGAGATAGAGAGTTGTCGTTGTTTTCATTTGAAACATTTGGTGATGTTGATTCTGGAGTTTTAGACTCAGAAGGGCTTTTAGAGGTGATCTATAGTTGAGCCATTTCACTTTGCGGAGAAGAATAGAGTTGTACAAGGTTCAGTTAGTTGCCCATCTTCTAGCTAAGGGCAGGGTCTAGGCCAGAACCTAGGTCTTCCGATACCTGGTACAAAGCTGTTTTACCACTTTCCCTGCCTCTGGGCTTCCTTGTTTGAAGGGAATATTATCCCTGAGCATGATACACAAAACAGGCATACTAGACAGTCTTTAGTTGAAGGTAGGTTGGAGACGTTGACTTTGTGTACTTAGGGATATTTAGGGTAGTCAGCTGACCAGAAGGGTGGCCAGGGGTGCTCTATTTGAAGCTGCTTCTGTTTAACAAGCCTACTGGTTTTCCTTATACTGTGTACTTACTTGGGGTGGCTTTTGGATGTGTGGCTTCAAGGAGGTTATGGTGGAGTTCAAGACCCCTTCCTCCCCAAGAAACTCCTTGGATGTGGTCACTGGTCCCAGCATCCCAATCCAAAAAGTCATTTTTTAAAAAGATTTTGTTTTTATTTATTTTTAGAGAGAGGGGAAGGGAAGGGAAAAGAGAGGGAGAGAAACATCAGTGGGCTGACTCTCACATGCCCCCAACTGGGGACCTACCTGGCAACCCAGGCATGTGCCTTGACTGAGAATCGAAGTGGCTACCTTTCAGTTTGCAGGATGACACCCAACCTATCGAGCCACACCAGTCAGGGCCCAAAGGTCATCTTCATGACTCCGAGGCATGGTCTGAAGATCACCCTGACCAGTACTTAGCAGCAGGATAAGCATTTTCCTAGAGCTGAGCACATCCTAATGTAATCTAAGGCAGGAACCCTTTCGTGCACACTGCTTGCTTTGGTGTTCAACAGTTCTTCTGGCTGCATTAACATTAATGCATGTACTTTTAGGAATCTATTTTTGGACTTTAGGAATTTGGTGCACAATGAAAGAAAGAAAATGAAAAAATAAAAGAAAAATAACTTTATTTATTTATTTTTAAAGATTTTATTTATTTTTAAAGAGATGGGAGCAGAGAGGGAGAAGCCAGCCTGCAGCCCAGGTGTGTGCCCTGACTGGGAATCAAACCAGCAACTTTTCCGTTCATAGGCCAGTGTTCAGTCCACTGAACCATACCACCCAGGGCAAAAACAAAAACAAAAACAAACAACCCCCCCACAACTTCCTTTACTATGGAATATTGTTTTGTTCTTTGTCCTGGCAGAGAGCCAATGCACTTTATCCTGGTTCCCTGGGTCTCCACACACATGTCTTACACACATCTCTGAGAACAGATTTGGAACCAGGGTGGTGCCATCTCTGGAGCCGCCATAATGCCCAGCAGTGCTCCTTATTCTCTGTTTAAATGATTTTTGTGGGCTGCATCATTTTAAAGAGATTTTAAGTTTGATATTGGCACTGACAGTTTGTCTTTTGTACCAAGTGATACCCCTGAGTATAAAGGTTCCTTGAGTTAATCTCATAGACTTTCCCCAGGAATCCTTATAATCATAATTTTGAAAATGTTTTTATAGGAATGAGCACTACTGCCCTGACTGGCGTGGTTCAGCGGGTTGGACATCACCCTACAAAGCGAAGGGTCGCTGGTTTGATCTCGGTCAGGGCACATGCCTGGGTTGCGCATTCAGTCCCATGGTGGGCTGTGTATGAGAAGCAACTGATGGGTGTTTCTCTCTCACATCCATGTCTCTATCCCTCTCTCTCTCCCTCCCTTACCCTCTCTCCAAGAATAAATAAAAAAAAATCTTACCAAAATCAATAAGCACTATTAATAAAAAAAAAAAAGAAAAGAAAAGAGCCCTGGCTGGCGTAGCTCAGTGGATTGAACGCGGGCTGTGACCCAGGCATCGCAGGTTCGATTCCCAGTCAGGGCACATGCA